ACCACAAACGGTGTGAAAGTTACACACGCGGGATGCGGTCAGGTGAGCGTGGGGAGCGACGAGTCGCTGCGCCGCCCTAAACCAGGCGACTCTGGCGACGCAGAAAAAGAAAAAAAGCAACAAGAGCCGAGACTATAGTTGCAGTCCCATCCGGGCACCAATTCTTCTGCCTTCTCACGAACAAAACGAAAAAAAAAAAAAAAAAAAAAAAGAGGAAAAGGCTCCGCGTGTCCTTATCCGTTAAAATTGGAACGATACAGAGGAAAGAGAAGATTAGCATGGGCCCTGCGCAATTAAGGACGACACGCATAAATCGAGAAACAGTCTAATTAAAAAAAAAAAAAAAAAAAAAGAAAGGCTCCGCGTGGCTACACGCCGACTTCACCGATCTGTAGCAGACGTGGCCAAACGGTTCAGCGTGATGTCATCACGGCCGCACGATCGGCCGTACGGCGATGTCATCACGGCCGCACGATCGGCCTCACGGCGATGTCATCACGGCCGCTCGATCGGCCGCACGATCGGCCGGCCGGAAAAATGTCAAGGCATGGCCAACACCCTTTTTTTGTTTTTTCCTTTTTTCTTTCTTCCCTTTCTCCCTCCCCTTTACAACTTGCGCAGGCGCACATTCCCCACCCCGCGCATTCCCCAACCCGCTAATCAATTCAATCTTCTCAGCATCGTTCCAATTATGACGGATGTCCCGAAGGACTAGCCAACCAATCAACACCCTTTGAAACCCGCGCAAAACAAAGAGGAGGCGCATTTCTGCAGACAACGCTGCTGGATGCTCTGCAGGGGGAGAGAGAGAGCAGCCGATCCCGATCCCGATGCCGATGCCGATCCTGCGCTCTCTCCCCCTCATCCAGCTCGGCAGGCGCACATTCCCCAACGCGCGCACGCGTTTGCAACCTCGGTTGCGATCCCGTCTCGCGTCTCGACAAGGGGAGGGGGAAGCATTCTCCTGCCCTTACTGCATCATCACCACGTGCATCCACCCCGTGCGGGGGGGGGGGAGGAAGGGGAGAGAGAGCAGGATCGGGATCGAGATCAGCAGCCGGAGCGCAGACATTGCAGAGAAGGTAGAATAAGGGCTTCGCTGCCATATTTGCTCCTCTAACCTCCTTAACCCTGTGCTCTCACCCTTACACCCCCCCACCCCCACTTCTTGTTTTCCACGCTCTCTGTGCCCTATTTGCTCTTCTACGCCTCAACCCCCTGTTTTTTCCCCACACTTTCTCTGCCCTATTCGCTCTTCTAACCCTCTCCTTTTTTCTTTTTTTTTCTTTTTTTCTTTTTTCTTTTTTTAAGCCCCTGTCCAACCCACTTAACCCCTTCTCTCTTCCACATTTCCTCTACCCTATGCCCTCTCTACCCCCCTGTTTCCTGCACTTTCTCCGTCCTATTTGCGCTTCTAACCCTCTCCTTAACCCCTGTTTTAACGCTTAAACCCTTCTTCCCCCACTGTCTCATGCTGCTTCTCTCTCTTTCCCTTAACTTTTTTTCTTCTTTTTTTTTTTTGCTTGCTTGGATTCCTCTCTCCTTCTTCTCAGTGGAGTGCATTCCTTTTCCGTTATGGCACATTACATGGCTTGGTCTTCCACTGCGATCTCAGTACTCTACGTGCCTTGACAGATCGTCGAGGACCGGCCGCTTCTTTTTTTTTTTTTTTTTTTTTCCTTGGGATCGACCGCTTGACGAGTACGTCGATGGGTCCGACGCCCATTGTTTGCTCTCCCAAGTCGATTTCTTCTTTTTCTTTTTTTTTTTTTGCGTAGAGGAAATCGAACATGTGGTCATGCGATCGAACCTCCAACGCCCTGTCGATTTTTTATTTTTTTATTTTATTCTTATTTTTATTTTTATTTTTGTGCGGAGTTTTTCATCCGCTAATTACAATTTTCTAGACATTTATCTCTCTCTGAGATGTATGTACGCCCTGTATATTTCAATTTGTCGACGCAATGCAAAATTTGCATCAGTAGCATTCACTACACCAAAGTTGGTACTTTGATTTACGAGCCTCTCCCTAAGTGCTAGTGGTGACTGCCCTTATCAGCACCACTAACACCATCGGGAGCGTGTTTAAATTAAAAAAAAAAAAAAAAAAAAGGTTGGATCACTGGGTTGGGCTGCTGAATTTTCATAAAGTCAGATTACTCCAGTAAAGTAAGTTGGAATTTATTGACTGCTACCGTCTTCACCCGAATAGAACGCTCGGTATACGGCTATAAGTCTATAATGACCGGGCGTTCTATTCGGATGACGACGGTGGTCGGAAATCAGCACCCATGTCAAAGGAACAACATCGCCGTATAAGCCCACACACACAGAGAGAGAGAGAGAGAGAGAGAGAGAGAGAGAGAGAGATGAATAGATTCGATAGAACCCTGCTCAACGCCATATTCATTGAATTTCATTTATTCATTAATTCATTTATTTAATTAATTCACGTACTATTCAGGAAGG